AGCATAGCATGTTATGCATGTCAACACGCATCAACAAAGTGGTCCAGCGAGCTTCAAGCGTCTGTGGCACTACCTCACTTGGAAGTCTTGACAAGCTGACCAATTGATCGTCACAACCAGGACAGTTACTGGGCCGTCGTACTGATGTGTCGGGCATACTAATCACATCGCTCAAGCGTTAATACGTTAGCCCGTTCACATGTGAGAATTCAGATGGGTCCAACCTGCGCTGGTGGAATAGTGGTAACACGTTCGCCTCGCATGTTAGGGTCCCGGATTTCAAACCGCGGCACAGCCATTGGATATGCACTCTGATGAGCTCTAATAAGAGCGAAACTCGAGTCCAGTGCCTCCCCCCTTTGGTATGGATTTACCAGAATAATTGCATCAGGACAAGAGGACGACTGTTCAAACGAGAGTGAGTGAACAAAAGTGGAATACATTAGTTAGAGATAATCAGTACTGAGAGTAGTACAGAACATCCATGTCACTTTACAGAGGAAGCTTGTTGTGCACGATTTCCGGATCGCTTTCAAATGATTGGATCAGTACTCGTCGAACACCAGGAGTTCCAGCAAACCTCTGTGTCTTTCAATAGCCAAAGACATTTTAGTCTTCATCCGAAAGCTAGATCTCCTGTGCACGCAGCATCCGGTGTGCCGAAAAAAACCACAACATTTGCATAACTTTTTTGTGTCTGAATCGGGCATTGAAATGCCAGTGGCGATAGGATCACATGATTACCGTATTTTTCGGTATCGCAATGATGCCCTGAAACAATCAATAAGTGTTGCTCTTGAAACATGATTGCAAAGGTCATGTATGCAATAATAATTAAAGTGCGACTGTAACGGGTCTAAAACAACACCGACAGTATTGCAGTCTTGTACGAAAAGAAGCCAACGCTTCTTTTCATCCCTGCATTTATAGACAACATGGTAAGCGCAAACCAAAAAAAAACATCTGGAAAACTGCATATAGTTGAGAAGGTAGATACCCAAATTCCTAAGTTAAACCCAGCAAAATGGACAGCGGCTTCTGTCTGTGCTGTTCAGGTATCATAAAATGGCGGTTGCCTGTACAGATTGGAGGAACATCTGATAGGCCTTCAAAGTGCATAAGTTATTCTGCTGTCAGATCTCCAGTAAATCTAGCGCAATATAAAACGCTTGTTCTAGTTTCTGTTCCGATCAAAGTTGAAAGTGGGCCTGGTTGAGCAGTTTACGAGTTCTTCACTTTGGTATGTTCCCTGAAAACCCTAGTTAAGTGCGCCATTCTATTCTACTCGGGCAGGTTACCCAGCTGATAAAATGAAGGGGACATGCTAGCTAACGCGGCCGGGTCGGGCATACCCCAATAGGAGGGTTTAGAATGTGGTTTCAAGTGTGGAGCAAGGCTCGACTTGTGGGGAAAGTGTTTTGCAACAAGTGTGACGCGAATTCCCAACGATTCACTGTTATTATCTCCTTCAAATCTCAGGAAGGTAGATACATCAAAGTTTTCGAATAATAACACAATCTGGATGGAACTTTTAGTATTGTGGTTCCGTACATGCACCGATGTGCGAACGGTTTAGCGACTTGCATTATTAGTGTAAAAAGCCAATTCCGAGGGCGGATCGTTCAACTGTAGTACCCTTCGGTGTCTTAACTGCCAAACCACCAGAAGGAGGCACGATGGCTGGGATATTGCCAGCTTGACCAAGCCTAGACAGAAGAATTCGAGAGGTAGAAGTCAGCTTGACAACACGGACCTTCTGGTGAGCGAATTCGAGCTGTACAACAGATGTCAGAGTATAGGTAAATGAGAAACCGAGTAAGATTTCCTGCTTTACCTCGATAAGTGGAAACTATCAGTTCACTGTTTACAAGTGACCATCCTCTAGATTAGCTATAGAAGTATCTGCTACAACGGGGCAGAATAAGTTTCTCACAGCCAGTTTCTCGATGCCAGAGACCCTGAAGAGTGGGACGAAAGTTCTTGGCGCGGAATGGAAGTAGATGCTTTAGCTTAGTGGCCGCAATATGTGTAGATGCGGTGTCGAACGAAGCTACGTATACTAGTACGTACATAAGGAAGGTGATATCAACACTTTCAAATGTTAGAGCAACAAGTCAACATTGCTTGCTGAAGCCATCTCGTAAGGGATCCTTGAATAGCTTATCGCAGGTGCATCTCATAAGTCTAGCTCACGCCGTTGTAAACTGGAAAGCGAGACATCACTGCACTATGTTATTTCGGATGTTCACAAAGCTTTGAGTGAAGTGTGCTATTTAGTTCCAAATACCTGGTGGTCTATTTTTTGTAAAGTTTTTCTCGAACTGTTATCTTCCCCACTCACTTCACAGAACTATACCCTTTGTTGCACTTCGTTTTAAGAGTATAACCTATTTTATGGATACAGTCAGAATTTTTTTCAAACAACTGTGAGAACCTTATAAAGTTTTGCAATCCTGCATCTTTATGGAGATACCTCTTAAGCTGTTGTCAGGAGATAATTCCGTTACAATTCTGTGCCAGTTTACATTACAATTTTTGGAGTTGAGCAAGTTAGTTAAAGTAGCAGTCCAACCTGACTTTGCCTGTCCTTGGTAAAGTACATTATTTCAGCCGCCATGCAACAGCCTTCAGCTGTTTCTAGTGCTTCTATTGTTACATATTTCTCCGAACCATCAAAGTGCTCTTCCAATCAAATAACACGTTATCGGATCACCTAGTTTACGGAATAAATTATGGCACTTCTCCAGTGATTGATTGTCACAGATATGCTGAAATTTCAATAAAAGTAAAAATAGAATTACTCGAATAGAATTCTTTTCGTTTGAAAGGCTGTACTGCTTTGTGTTAGTAGACAACTATGCGGTGAACGACCACTGCCCGATTCTACAGAGGTATCATTTGGTCCATTACCTCAAACCACATTGTATTTGCCGGTTTGCCTCTTTCTCTTTCATTAGTATCTCACGCGTAGCAACTATTTCCAACTTACTGCATTTGGTTATTTCATGTACATATATCATATTGATGATAGATATCTATATATTTCATTCATTTATTTATTTTACATATATATTCACGGTTCTGCAAAGGGTTAACCTTCAAACGTGGTTATCTCAGCTCGGCCATGTGCAAGGCACGCCCAAACCCTATCTGCCGAGACGAGTTTTGTTCTCCGTCTGTCCTAAAAAACGACGTAAACTATAAGATATGCAGCACATGGCTTTGGTAAACGGTGTGGAACAGATCACGAAGAGTTTGGATATTGTTATTGCGACTCGCCTTCCAGGATAAACTCTCCGTGATCCCATGCGCTTGGCTGAACACAGTGAAAGAAATGGCGGCTGAGCGATGTCAAAATTGTCTGTGCTGTCAGTTTCTTTCCAGATTGTCTGATTGGGTGCCGGAAGATTTAAGTACCTCAGAATGCCTGGTGCAGGCCACCAGTCACTCGTTCTATTCTCTTCACCCTTTAAGTATATATAAGTAAATTCTGTGATTGTACTCCAGTAGAGTATCGGTGTCGATACTGAGGTGGCTGTCTCAGATGACCATGATGATTAATTATCAAGTTGATGACGACTATGATGATAAGCTGCATGGTGGAGTAGAATCTATTGCAGTTTGGGTTGGTGGGGTCAACGATTCAAAAACCAAGCAGATTTTAACTAGCAATAGTTGTGATGCTCAGGAATTGCCATTGATGTGAACCATTTAGTCACTGTGAGCGTACCCCGTAGTTCTCAACTGTTTATTCGGCCCCACATAAGTTGACCGTTGTACTGCCAACACATACCGTTAGTAGCATCACATCCTTTGTTGATGTTGCCGGTTTGTGTTCTCGTTAATGCTCCAAATTTATCGATTGTTTATCTTGGTGTATTGCATCAAGTTTCGCTTTAGCATTTTGTTGGGTTGTATTATGGGTGCATTTTATCAAGACGCCTGTAAGTACCTATGGGGTGTTTTAGGGTAGTGTAATGAACCGTGTCGCTTTATGTTTTGTCGTTCTGAATTATATTATGATTTGTTATATCTGGTTTCAATGTACAAATCTAAAACTACCCCACATTAGCACTCTGGATATCGGCGATGAGTACACCTACAACCGCGATATAAGTGGCTTTCCGCAGGTACTGTTGTGAAGGACTAACTAAATACTGAGTAGCTATCCATGTCTACCATGGATGTCTTGGATTGTGCGGACCATCAGGATACCCTTTGCATGCACTAGCGGTTTAGTTGTCCTTACGAGATTTGGCGATCGCCGGTCATCATTTGGTTATACTTTAGTTCTCGGTTGACAAAATCAGTCCATACGTCCACAAATTCGTAGAAGATAGGAGTACATTGCTGCAAACTAACTTGGGGGTTCAAAAGCCCTCGTAGATGTTTCCGGAAGCAGCTGACTCAGGTTCATGTTTACCGGGTAGGAACTGACATACACGGGACAACAAATCTTGTTACAGATACCGGTTAACTTTAGCCATTTCGATAACAAGAGTCGTCGTACGCCGAATGCGAAAGGTGTCACATTTATGAAAGTATAACATGGGTAAGAAATTCAGAACGGTAATCAGATTAGAGGAAATTCGTTATAGGGAGGGTAAGGGACACTGTTTACTGTGCAGATTGGAGGTTTATTTCCCATTTATGATTTATCGATATTCTTGTCATCTGAGCAACAGCAAGTAAACATATCAACACAACTAAGCTTTCCCCGGTATAGACTGATTCGTGGTACATAGCCAAAGGACATGATGTTTTTCTTTGTCAATATTACACCGTTCTGTCATAAACAACACTTACTGTGTACCATTTGAGGGAGGTTATTTTGGGACATGGGATCAGCTAGCACAGTACGCTTCCTCCGTCATCACCTACCATAAGTTAGGACGAAACGGTAGCCGTTTTTTGACAAATTGCCTCATTTTCCTTTCGTTGGCGAAGGACGAAATATAACATTCAGGAAACGCAGAACCGAATTGCGGTGGATGAGAAACATCTCTCTAGTAAATGGCAAGTTTTCCATGCTGGTTCGCAAGATGGACAAGAGATGTAAAGTGTTTTACGCGGATAATCCAATAAACGGTTTTGTTTCTTTTCCATTCCAGCAGAAAATCACTGTTTTTTCAGCCCCGTTCGGCATACAATACTCTTTTTACGGGGAGCGTATAAGGAAACTGCTCCGGGCAAGCGGTGTCGTAAAATACGTGCATTGTTGTTAGCTGTCTTATATTGACCCGTTTGTCAATTAGTGCATATTCAGCGAGCAGGAAAAAGCTTTAGCTCTGCTTCGGCATTCTGCACTTATTACGAAGAAAAAAGTTCAAGATTAAGAAGTTCGGATACAGGTGTGAAGTAGAGTTCCTTCTAGTTATTACGTAATTTGTGATGGGGTATTACCAATGAACGCTTTTTAAGCTAAACACTAGTTTTTTATCCATGCATCTCAGAAAGATCACATTGTGATTGCGTATACGTTGTTGAATGATGTACTTGGTACAGCCTGAGCACTATTCTCCACATCGTCCAATTTTTGGCTTGTAAATCAAGATGAGGAGATATCTGAATGCGTTAAATGATGCACGGAATTAACTGGAGTGTTGTACTTAGAGACAAAAAGCCTTTAAGGTCTGTGTAAATAAACTTGGTAGTTGACAGAGTTCAAATTTTTTTAGGCTCTCTCGGATTGCTTTTATTTTCCAATAAGATGTGTTTTGCAAAATTACCCGGCGGAGGATATTTTTGACACTCAGTTTTAACCATTGCTGCTCTATATTATGTCATACTGTAGAATATTATGTATGTAGTGTACATATTATTCCGCGTCACACCGTACTGTTATTATAATGCTATTATTACTCCTGTCATCCGACTTGCTGGGCGTAATACCCATACGAAACTATTTATCACCTAACTACCTTTTATAGCATAAATAGCGGTACATTATCACAATGTGCTGACAACTGGGGCTAAAGCTGAGCCGACTGCAACGGGTGCTTAGTTAGTAATTGAGTAATATGGCACTCTGTCCATTATTCAACTAAGAACATGTAAATAAATCCATTCACCTTACATTCGGAAAGTTATTCCCTTATCTTGGTGTGGTCTGTAGCAAGCTGAAAAGCGGAAACCCTGCAGTATATATTCCTAGCCCTATAGAGGTTCGAAATCAGCCATCTAATTGGGCACAGATATGTTTCTAGACAAAATTAGAAGCAGAAAGCCTCCAGAATTTTGCTTCTATACCCGAAGAGTGCGAAACCCCTACGAAGTCATTCCTGTTGGACGTCATTCTCAAGAACTACACCGGACTTTACAACTTATGGCCAAAGTCCAGTGCTTCATACTTCGAGATCACCTAGTCATTAGAAGTTAAGATTTCCCTACTCTCCCAGTACGGTAGCCCTGAAATCTTCAACGCGGTCACTTTCAGCACCATACCGCAAAATCTGATATAAGGGCAGACCTACTGATTAATCAACTACTATTGCAAAGAAGCAGCCTGCCATTGTACAAAGCTCACTGCCACTGAGAAGCTCAAATGCCACCTAATAAGCAGCTTAAAAGCAGTGCTTCTTCTAAATGCACCTAGCATACAGATAGTTTAACAATTTGAAATATCATGTATCTGTTTCGGTTATCGGACTTGCATCCCAAGACAAATGCTTTGTCACTTTGGTCTTGGCATTAGTTTTTCTATTTATTATGGCTAGTTACCTCTTTACTCCAACGAATTTCCAAGCCAGACTTCCGACAGTAGTTTTTTCAGACTAAATACCCGATGTCAGACTGACT